TTCTGTCGTAACAGGATTTCTGTCGAGCAAGAATTTTACGCCAGATTATTTTATGATTAATAGTAATTTCGTGCAGTTTCAAATAGATTATTATAAATATATACTGTGAATTTCTAATTTCATATATAGTTTTATAGTCTCGAAACTTGCGGCCTATTTTTGAGCATAGTACCCTTAATTGTTGTCAAAACAAATTATTTTAATAGAGAAATAAATCAACTCAATTAATTTCAGTCCGATTTATGTATCGATAATTTCTATTATCCGTTCGCCACTGGCTGGCTAAGGCTAGAGCATATGCCGATAAGCGTTACGGCACACAGGGAAAGCTGTGACACCACCACACCGATATATAAAGGCGGAAACCCATAATGCGGCACTTGTGAATATCATCTTTCGTTCGAATCCGTTATATTTCCTTTCGGCTTTGCCGCTTATATTTCCTATTGGGTTCGTATTGGTTTCTGCTTAGATCGGTGCCGGGCCTAATATTAGCACTTCGCACGGCTTGAAATATATCACTCGTAAAAAAGAAAGAAAAACCTTCAATATCATACAGGCGGGCCATGCATGATATATTTGCACGATTTGTATATATATAAATATGTTAGAATATGCATTTATATACTAACACCAGTACGGTTTAATAATAAATTATGCTCGTATACCATGCGATATATATATATATATATATATATATATATATATATATAGGGTGGTTCTTAGTATGGACATTTTCGAATTTCCTTGCTCCCAAGGCGTCAAATAGTTCCAAATTGATAAAAAAACAATTCTCTAAAAGTTTTAACTCTTAATATTGTCTTTTAGTTAGAGCGCAATTCAATCAAAGATTTGCATAGAAATAGCATGAAAAAAATTTAAAAATATTTGCAGAGCGTCGAGTTTTCAATGAAAAATTGACACAAATTTTCACTCTTAATTCATTTTCATTTTCTTTTTTTTCCATGCTACTTCCATACGAAGTTTGATTGAATTGCGCACTATCTAAAATATAAGGTATAAATTACCTGAAGATAGAATAAAAATGCTGAAATATTTTGAAAACAAAATGTAATTAACTATTTGAAGAATGCGCGGCTAATTAACTGGATCTGGTCACTACAAGGTTACTGATTAACAGAAAATTATCCCTATAAATCGCATAAATTTTCATTCTAAAGGATTCAGAATTTAGGTAGCATAGAATTAGCGCTAAAAATTAACGAAAAATAATCGATTCAGTTCTGTTTTAGATTTCAGCCGCATGAGGAGAACTTCATCAAAGATTTATTTTAAATAGTCAGTAGTATGAAATTTTCCAGATGAATTGCATAAAATTTCGTTTTTCAAGATCTTCCTTTGATACTCCTACAAAAAAATTGAAGCTTAAAATTCAAAAATTAACTAGTGGGGTGTATGGCATCGTGCCTTAAGGCAAATTGCTGGAACTTTCCGTACCGTAATGAAATGTTCGAGGAATACTGAATGTTTTCAAATAGATTATTATTAATATTGTAACATTGTCTAATATTTATAATATTAATAATTTGCATAAAAATGATACATTTTTTTCCAAAATCAATTATTTTGTTAAAACAAGCTGAAAGTTCTTTGAATCATTTAAATTGGACGATTAGTCCTCTCAAAAACTGCCATTTTTTGCACATTTAGCTCTGTATCTTCGAAATGGCTGGGCCTGCCAAACTAATAATCACTTCTCCCAATCATTACTAATTGAATGCTTTTTAGATCATTCAAATCGAATGCTCCGTTCACTCAAAAACTCGATTTCCATTCTCTGCACTCTTTGCTCCGTATCTCCATAACCTGCCTTTGCCAAAAACTAATCAGCACATCTCCCTATCAATAGGAATCGAATGTTTTTTGAACCATTCAAATCGGTTGATCCGTACGCCCGAAAACGTAGACGAAAAATTGTATCCAGACCTACATACACACACAAACACACATATTATTTGAGTTAAAAGTTTGTTTTGCGTGTCATATTATAATAATTATCTAATTTATTTTCCACAACTTTTACTTGATAGGAAAAATCTGAAAATCTCGTTAAGTTCCATTTACTGATAAAATCATCTGAAAATTAATATATCATTCCACAAAAGATAGCAGACTCAAACGATCCCTTGAAGGATATATAGGTTAATAAAACAACACTTCCAAGTATTTTATGCTTCGGCTTTATATTTATATTCATTTATTTATAGGCGTTATATAATATCTTATTATTTTTACATTATTATTATCTTTGCGTATATAGGTAATTTCATTTTATTACATATGTTTATTAGGATATCGTACTAAAGTTAAATATACAGGGCAATCACTTATGGAGTTATGTACACACACATACAGTTATGTTTAGGGTTGTATTATATTACATTTGATAAAATGAAATAGTTTATAGGTGGTAAATTTAAGAAATTATTGAAATTTTTATCAGTAGTTCAGACAATGAAATTATAAGTGTATATGTACAGAGGTATTATTCCTAACAATTATTTGCAATATGCGATTATATTTTTCTAAAAAAACATAACCCGTGTAACAACTTAGGAGCCAATTCTCTAGTAAAATAGACCGTAACATAGCGTTGTTATGACAACGCTATATGACGCTCTTTCTTCATATAAAATGGTAGTAAAAACTATGTATTCGCTGTGCGATCAGGCCTTTTACACATAAAACCTAACTTCACCTAGGTGTTATAAATGCACATCATTCAGATGCAGTTATGATAACATTATTTTTTAAGGTTTGTGCGTTTTCTAGGTTAGACTTTATATCTAAAATGTTTGACTTCACAGCAAATATATAGCATATTGACATTTATTGCTTCTATTTTATATGGAGAAAGGTGCGCAACATAAGGTTGCCATAACGTTTTGTTACGATTTATTTTACCGGAGAATTGATCCCTCAATGATCTTGTCAACCTCAATATATATCATTTGTTCATATGTAATTAAATAGTTGAAATATGAATTTGTATTTCTAAAATCAATCACGTGTCATTGCCTGAACTTTAAAAATTAACATAGCACAAGAATTTTTCAACACTAAAATATTTTCATAATATAAATTTCAGTATTCATACACCTCAGACAAGTACAAGCAACTCTTTAAATATTTTTGATGCACATTTCATTCGTTTACTCTTAGTTCTTTAAGCATGGTACAAATATCTATGTTTGTCTTTTACCCGGAATTAACAATTTGTCATAACATTAAAAGCTACGAGTCGACAAATCTTCAAAGAATATGAAAGATTTATCTCTTTAGCAAATTCACAAAAATATAATTAATTATATTCCCTTGAACAACTATTATCATATATCTAAAGAAACATAGGCAAGTACCTACGTATAACATTAATAATCCTGTTCTTCCTGCATGATGCTGGAAGTATATTTTTAATTATTTTTGTTATATATGTGCACATATATCTTAAATGTCACAACACAGCTTTTCTCATATTAATACAGTATGTACAAAGAAGTTTCTTAAATGTATGATTTATTCAAGTTTGGAATAGTATGGTACTTACATAACTAAATAACTAAATAAAGCTTGGATTTATTAATCAAATAGAAATGTAATGTAATGTAATGTAATCAAATACAGTTATGATTACAGGATCAGTTTCAAAATTGATACTGCAGAATTGAGTTTATATATATATATATATATATATATATATATATATATATACGGCTCTGAAATTAACATTTTTATCTTCATCAAACTGTTGTAGATATAATACTTTTGCAAAATTTTAGTTGCACATTTTGCCAATTCATTTCTTTGAAATAAATATCATAAATATCAGAAGTCCTTATTAAGTAGTAATATTAATAGGATAAAATTCCTAGCTAACTTTCAATAAATCTTGCAAATTATCTTCGCTGTTTGCAAAGAAATAAAAATTAAACTGTGTTAAGAAAAGTAATTAATTTGTTAGACAAATAAAACTTTGAAGCTTGATAGATTGTGGAATAATAAATTGAGTACAAATTAGTTTTCGACTTTATTTATTTTATAGAAAACACAGAATATCAAATCCCGATGATCACAAATAGCAGATTACGAATAATAAAAAAGTAGTAAGTTGTGCAAAATGTAAAATAAGTCATATGTTTATTTAGAAATAAGTTCAGAACCCAAAATATTAAAAGTATAGCTCATTGCTCAAAAATATGAATATTAATTATAATTATAATATTAATTAAAGGAATAATGACTCACACAAATTTTTGGTAAAAGCTCTAAGAATTTGTAACAAAATTCCGCAACTATTATTTTGCAAAATACGTTCCTCTTTGGATAATAATATAGAGTGTAATTTAAAAATTCAGCCAGTTGTAATTTAATTTTAAAAAATTTCCTTATGTTATATACGTTAATAAAAAATTGAATTTTGTTTAGTTTATGTTTAATCGTTTATAATTAAACTAGAAATAGTATAAATTTCACCGTTGTCAAATTCTAAAATATATAAAAGATTTCATTAATACTCAATTTATTTACTGCATTTTCTAGTATTAAATAGGCTCAGTCATTTTTACTTTCCAATGACGAACTTTCTTTAGCTATAAAAATACTAATAATTAACGTATTAATACTGTCAGGGAAGTATTATGAAGGTGATTCTGTACATATTTTTAAATATCACTCGACACAAGTCCATTTATTTATGTACAATTAATTTACTTTTCCTATACAACTTTGAAAGCACTTATCACTGATTTATTATTACACGTATTATAATCTATGTACAAACCCTAGTATAATTTTTACAAATTGTATAATAGAAGCGTTAAAAAAACTTTAATCTTCTAGGCAAAACTGAGAGTAAATTGATTAAATAGAGTTTAAAAAGCGCTTCTAATAATATTATTAAAATTTGTAAAATCAATAATTATGCTAATTGAAGCAATTTCCCAAAGGGAATATCTTACAACTTAGTTCATATCAAGTATACTTATATAGAGTTATATATGTAACAGTTTTTAAAAACTTAGAAGTTAAATTGGCAGTCATCGCATAGTTGGCAGCAAAAATATTAGTAAAATCGACGTGAATATCGTCAGAATAAAATTAAACTTTAAATGAGTCGTAGAACCATTGTGGTAGGGTCTATGTCTTGCAGATGGAGGACCTCTGCTTGGAGACCCGTAATCTCCACTTAAATAATCTATAACAAAACGATTTACATACGATTGTAATTTATTGAAGAAATAATATAAATATACTATTATAATATTGCCAACAAGCAATTAAGCAAAAAGCACAAAATGATATAAAAACGAGCAAGCCATTCAAATAGATAAAACGAATTAAATCGAGATACCATGCAACTTAAATATCAAAAGCAAACTTTTAACTACATTGAGTCATATCTATGGGGCTATCAATTAAATGAAATGATATAAACATATATGAGCCCGTTCTTCTTACATTAATTAATTTTTAGGAATTATTTCATATTAGTTAGTACTATTTAATAATTTTGTTTAAAAACTAAGTTTGTTATAATCTAAATAGCGTTTTGTTTATTGTTAATGTGCTTGTTATATAAATTATTTGTGTGTATCGGTCTCAAATTGAGTCAATATTTAAAACATATAAAACTAAACTAAATAAAATAAGTTACTGAATTTAACATCGCTTTTGATTTAATAGTTGGATGCAATCCCTCATAATAAATTTATTTAAACATTTTGTGTTCTCATTTACAATATTATGCTGCCTATTGTAACAAAATGTAAAGTCAATGATATAAGTAATTTAAATTTTTGAGTCCATGTATAATTAAAATTAAATTTGTAGACAGTCAAAAATAAAGAAGAAAAAACTTTGACGGGTACAATTGTGTAAGGGTAGTAACAGACGTCATAACAACTAAACTATACTGATTATGAGATAAGTTCTAAAGGGAAAAAGATGAAGTATGATTGTTTGAACAAGTTTCTTGTATTGATTACAGTCAATAGTAGTCAGTGGCGTACATTAACCTAATGTGTAGACCGCATTGCGTTAAAACTTGTAAATTAACAAAACTATCGCTGATTAAAAAAAGTGGCACAACCGTACCCAGTCTCCGTTACTAAATAATCCGCACAATGATAAATATACTATACACTAGACTTATAGTCTGTTCATAGGTAAAAGTCCACTTTATTTTTTTCTTTTATATTATATATTATTATCTCTGAAAAAAGTGAACAAAGTTTTCAGATTTTTTTTTATTTTTAGGAATAAGTATTTCAATATCGTAAGTAGAAGATTAAGCAAATAAAAAATGAGTGAAATAGAAATAAATAAAAATATCAACTAATGTTGAATATGCTCATGATGCTCACAATTAGAAATTATCATTTATTCATTCACAATCAAAATATATAAAAGAAATAGATTACGGTATGCATGAAATTATATATATATATATATATATATATATATATATATATATATATATATCTACATATATATATATATATATATATATATATATCTACATATATATATATGTAAATTGTATACGATGTGATGGTAAATCATGCAAAGGCGATTTGTCACCACCCGAGTGTCAAAATCGCGTATATCTTCTTCGATATGCCAATAACTCACGGTCGATATGTCTCACAAATATACAAATACTATGTGGTGCAGGTGTCATCGACACCGTATTGAGTTTTTTTCTAAATAAATTACTAGTAATATTCATTAAAATTATGGGTGGTATAAAATACATGTAAACTATCCCAGACAACAAATTCGAATATTGTTTTCTTTATGTCCCTCTTTTTTTTATTAAAATAGTATTAATAGTAAAATTCAGTAATATTATATCATCATATTATTATAGGTTGCTCATATTTGTGTCCAATATACAAATTTCTGAATTATTTGAGTTTATAGTTATATTGCTAAAGCTGATAAATATAATAGAGTAAATAATATGTATTTTAAAATGATTTTAAAATAAACTGAATGTTTAAAAAATAGATTTGAAAATCAGAAAATTATATCATATCTAATTATATGATTCATAGTTAAAATTGTGTTGTTAAAATTTGTTTACACCTTATCATATCATCAGGTAATTTTTATTTATAATTAGAGCGTTATATTATTTAAGAATTTGCTGCTCATTGCGAAAAACAGTGTTAATGTTCCAACAAGATTTATTATACTGCATATTTAAATATTCATCGTGTTTTCACATATGTTTTAATTCAACTCACATATGCTGTAAAGTCATATGTAAAGAATATTATTTCGCATATAGAAAATTATTTCGAATAATACACTCTATTCAACAGAAATTTAAATATCGTACTAAAATCTAATAAGCAAGCTCGGAAGAAAATTAGTTCATACAAAACATTTTTTTAAAACAAGTTTGACCGTAATTAACATTATATAGAATAGAAAAGTAACTTATAATTTTTGTTAGGGTTATTAGTTTGATTCAAAAAAAATTAGGCATTCGTTAAATTACTTGAAGGAAACCAAAGTTAGGTTATGAATTTTTAAATTCAATTTTATACGATTCTAGATTTGATTAGATGCATCTTCGAACACATACAAATACTTAATTATGTAAGCAAAAAATATTTTTTGAAAACAAACAAACTGTATATATTGAGTAATTAATATAAACGACAAACTTAGTTTTAGCTTTACAATTCATAATATTATAGAGAAGCTAAGGGCTATTTGTGACAGCGGTAACTAATTAAAAGCGTTTTTCAATGGGCTTTAAACCATATTATGATATTTTTGTGTTCTCATAGCTACTCTTCGCAAGCCTACGCAATAAACAGAACTGTGCAGGTCCGTCACTTTTGACAGGTGATATAAAATAGAACTACCATCTCTCATGTATTTAAGAGAAGAGAATTGTTTAGAAACAAATAATTTTTCTTGTAAATTAATAAAGAATAGATTATCGAAGAAATGATTATAGTGACTACTTGCTCCGGCAGATATAACAATAAGCCGCGAAATATCAGGTAAGTTAAGACACTGCACTTTTTCTAAAAACTGATTAATTTTGAAGTAATAAAGAACAGTTGTAAAATTATATTTATTTGATTCGGTACATAAATGGCTACAGCAACTATTCATCTCAATTTTGTAGAATTAGTGAATTACAAGATATATTAATTTAAAAAAAATGTTAAGACAAGCCCTTTTTTGCCTATACAAAATATTGTATGTTTGCGTATATTTGTACAATTTGTATATGTTGTATAGTGTTTATAGAATAAGATCTGTAGTGGTAAAGTCTACACCTACACAACGAGAAATCACTTCGAAAAAGCGAAATAAATAACGAGCCAAAAGTATTCCCAAATTCCCCGACACATCTTGCCCGACGATAAGATTCGAAATCCCGATGGGTTCGCATACACCACTCAGATCTAATAAAAAAACTTGTATTCACAACACTACATGTTTGCAACATGGGCACATCTGAGACTGCATTGTCACAAAAATATTTGGCCATGAACAGAAACATTGGGAGAGGAACGAAATGGTTCCATTTGATGAAGATATAAGTGGATTGGTACTTTGTAAATAGGAACATTTGTTGGTTGGTGAAACCAAAAATATGAGGAAGATAAATAGTTTATAAACAAATTTAGAATTTGTTGAAAATTGTTAGAAATTTGTTACTGCATACGTGGGGCAAATGGGATAGCCAGGGGGCTAACAGGTGCAATGTTTTATTTTTAATTTTAAAGCGATTTTACGAAATAATAGCTAGTATATATAACCTACATATGGCGACCTAAACGGTTATACTATTTTAACTAAAATTATTTTAACTTAAATATATTGCTATCTATATTTTCACGTAAAAATCCATGTCTCTACAGCTGGGCATCAGACTGGCCTAAGAATTCTGAATAGTGAGGGCCTTTACAATAGACAATTGGTCAAATTTACTAACCGTATGTAAAAACTTATGTTTTAATTTAAAAAAAAATTAAGAACAAATGTAATGCAGTAAGAATTCGAAAAGCGTTTCATAAAGGATCCATTTACAAGAGAAAAAGTGAAAAACAACATAAATTGTAACATGTATTCATACTATCTCTGTTTGTAACCCTTAAATTCAATAATGGTACATAGTTCAATATAGGGAAGATTGGGTACGGTTGTGCCAGGGTACGGTAGTGACAATCGCCTGGACAGCTAAACTAAACTGACTTTGAGATAGGATCCAAAGTGAGAAAAATAAAAAATGTTTGTTGTAATAAGTTTCGTTTATTGCTTAGAGTCAGCGCCCTATATCAACATTATCTGCAGGCCGCATTGCTTTTAAAGGGTCGAAAGTAAGTTTTTTGTTCGATTTCTTCTAATAATAACATTACTTTTATACAGTTAGATCACTTTGTTTGTTATTTTGGTGTGAGTTGACATTGGTAGTTAAATACCAGCAACTATGGTTAGTGTCTGGGCCTACTATAGCAAATGCATTTGTCTACAAAGGGCCAATATGGTCCTACGGTCTACAACCATGGGGCGCGGCCAGCGCAAATCAAGCATACCTATTCTACAGAGGTTTCAAAACAAAATTTTGAAAGCAATCGTAAACGCTCCAAAATATGTTCCCAGCTGGTTGATACATCAAGATCTCAGAATTCCAACTATATAAGAAGAAATCATTACTACTCCTGATACAAAGCTCGTCTAAGTCGTTGTTTTCTGTTATTAGTAGTGTACTAACTTTTGCGTTTCTTTCCAATTATGGCTATATAAGTTAACAGAATCGAAACAATACTTTCGCCACATTCAATACATATAAGAATATATACTATTAATAGCTGATAGTATAATATGGGACTCGGCCTGCAGCACCTCAGATTCACACCAGAGCTCCGGTGTTCCAATAATTTACGATCGCCGATTATTGGATTTATCGCACCACGCTTCGCTAAGCTTATTTCTGCGATGTGCTATAACGGAATGCTTCGAAAACTTTGGGCGCATTTCAATATTCTGCGCTATCTACGGCTTTATGTATATTTAAATGGATATTTACAGAAATACTGACTATATAATATATGTACACAATACATGAGATTGCAGGTCGATCTAGTCGCATTTGCACTATGCGCGAAATAAGTATCGAGACCAAGTATATTAAAAATATTTTAACGTGTTTTATGATTTTTTTCTGAATGAAATCGGATATAATTATACACGATAATACGATATTATTAGATTAATATGATTTCAAATAATATTTAGACAAATTTGCAGTTGATCTTAAAGATATTAATTTATCACTCACGTGTACAGAACCTATATAATGAAGCAGAAATTCTTTGATTTTGCTTGGTGTTTATAAAATTACTTAATTATGTTTATTATATTAATTATTATATTGTATTAATTATGTTTCATTATAATATAATGTAAATATATATTACAATAGTGCATGTTTTATTTCAATATTTTGAAATAATGTTGCATATTATATTACTTTTCAATATAGAATATAGCAGATTGTATAATGAGCTGGTCTATGACATTTGCGAAATAACCATTGAATCAAATCAATTTAAAATTGATATGCAACAAAAAGCTGGTTGATATTTTTATCAGAATTGAAACGTGATAATGATGATGTAATATTGTTAAAATATTAGAATATACAAATTTAAATTGTAATAAATTTTTATTCGGTTTACAAAGGGATCAATGAATCTATACAGGGTGTAGGTTTGATATTAAAACGGGTTGAAATGTCTTAAAAAAAATTAGGACAAATGAGCTTTGAAGCGTAATCTAGAGCTTTGGTAAAATTATGACCATTTTTCAGTTATTGTGGTTAATGTTTATTAATTGTTTATTTAAATTTTGAAAAAGTAACCGTTACAATTGTGGTTAAACGATAATACTTGCCAAAACACTTTATTGTATTTTATTCAAAGATAGGCCTCACAAAATCGACAAGTTAAAAAAAATTGAATTCATAGATCAACAAAAAGTATTAATTTGTTAAAACTTGTGATAATGGTATTACTGTTCTCTACTATGGTCCTAGTAATTTTATTCACGTTTGCAGTCCTCAGGTTTAAATGAACAAAATTTATAAAAATTTTACTAAAGCTCTAGGTTGCACTTAAAAGCTCATAATTCCCAAACAACGTGAGATATTTTTTTTATATTTATTCGAAACAGTAAAGGTTAGTACTATCATCCCCTTTTGCCTTCATAGTTTTTTTAGGTTCAAATGCACAAAATTATTAAAAACCACAATAACAAAAAATGATCATAATTTCACTAAAGCTCTAAGTTGCACTTAGAAGCACTTAATTCCTAAACAACGTAAGATATTTTTTTAAATTTTATTTCAAGACTGTGAAGGTTAGTACTATTATCCCTGTTTGCCTTCATAGTTCTTTTTTTAAGTTCAAATGAACAAAATTATTAAAAATTAACCACAATAACAAAAAATGATCATAACGCAACTAAATCCTAGATTGCATTTAAAAGCTCATAATTACCAAACAAGGTAAGATATTGTTTTTTCTATTTTAATTCAGTATAGTTACGATCAGTACTATTACACCCTTTAGACTTTATAGTTTTTTTCTAAGTTCAAATGAATAAAATTAATAAAATTTAACCATAATCACAAAGAAAAAAATCATAATATCACAAAAGCTGTAGGTTGCACTTAAAAGCTCATTATTCCCAAACAACGTGAGATAACTTTTTTTAATTTTATTTCAGGAAAGTTAAGGTCAGTACTAAGGTCTGAGACATCTTGAATATGACTTGAAAATTGTCATAAGAAAATATAATTCATAAAAATTATAATCTTATAAAATTTAATGCAATAAGTATCAGATTAATATTTTTGTTAGATAATGGATGCTAGAAATGTTTTTATTATTGTTAGGTATTTTAATATGTTAATATTATGGAATTATTTTTACATAATTGCCTAGAAATAATAGTCGCAGTATAAACTATTCAAGATTTTTAACTATTTAATGAAGTATCTATGTAACCTATAAAAACTTTACATATTATATGTGTAGTATATACTTACATACTATACTATAAATGTGTAGTTTATACTTTACATACTATAAGTTTTATTTATACTTGGAGAAACTATTGCTCCAAAAATGCACTGAAATTTGCCAATATATTGTTAGTTGGAGATGTGCTTACTCATTGCCTTTTCTTCAAAATTTAACAGTACCCATTGTGCAATATAATGTTAAATTTTGTATTGATGTAGATAAATTAAATGATGTTCCGTTTAATATTTAGTTGTAATAATTAAATAGATGAACATAATAAACATAATGTCCGATTGAGATACATTTTTTATTATTCGTGAATTTTAAAACGTTAACCTATATTTTCTAAAGATATTATGAAATAAACTATTTATAGCCTGTTGCCGTTAATTAAATAGTCAAATAAATAAATATACTAGGATTATGAAATTCTATGACAATCTTTTAGAAACGCTTTATTTCTATCATATAGCCGCACAATTGATACCACCGATGCCATATCAGTTTGTGGTCTTATGTGTTTTACTTTGGCCTCGTAACCACTCGAACCCCAATGCACATATGTTTTATACAATATGTACTTTCGACATATCACATTGTAGTACAGAATAGAAAATGAATAGCTTAAATTGTAGTTATATCGACTGTTTGTTTAATTATTTGTTATATAAACTAAAATTTAAAACGGATGAGTAAAAATAAAATTTTTGGTCTTTATAATTAAGACTGTAGAATTATTATTTAATCAAATCAATCAAATTATATAATATGTTAAATGATTATCATAACGTATCAAATAAGCGATACGACTGAAGAAAATTAATAAAAAAACCTATCACATGCGAACGAGTAAGTTACATTCAGCAAATTTAGAAGTTGCATTCACAAATTAAAAAATAGATTTGAAAAATATTGTTGTTGTCCTTAATTTTTTATGTATTTGGTTTGCATACGCAAAAATCACTAAAAATTCAAATTCACAAAAACCAAAATAGCAACGTAACGTAGACAAATTAAAGATAAATGATATAATATAAACAATATGTTCATTATTATTATTAAATTTTATATCGCGAGCGCTAAATGAGAGTCACATCCAAAAATGACAATTGTATATTTGATTATACAAACTTCAAAGTTTTAAAACACACGTACGTTTTTAATTTATTCGAGGCACAGGTATAATTCTTTATAAACATTAAGCAATAATAGATATTTTTAATTTGTAGATTTATATTTCATTTCCTTTCATTATTATCACCAAATAAAATACGAAAAATAATATTCAACTTGATATTAGCCATAAAAATTTAGTTAAAATATATATATTTAATTCGAATAAACACGTTTAAACTATCTTAAAAACTTCCAACAACCTGTAGTAAATATTTGAATATTATAAATTGACCTACTCTTAGCAATTATTTCTTGCATACTTGGAGTATAAGTTAAAAGGTTATGGAATATTTATGTGTCCTATTTGTTTAATATAATTACGTATTGCGATTACTTTTATCTCCAATATCTTTTCTTACCATGAAAAATTACTCTGTGCACAAATCTAAATGAATGCAGCTCGATTCAGATACTCTTGCAGTTTAATTTATTATTTATGTTATAATTCAAATAAATCCGTTTCTCAGCGTTTCTTCCGTATATTAACTCCGCTGACTCAAGAATGAACTTGACTAGAACAAAAAAATCTAATTCTGCTGTGCAAACATTTTAAATCTGCCGGCAGCAAACGTATTGCATTTTCCGGCTTGCGAAATTCCAAAGGCAAACGTTTAAATCAATATGTTAACTTCTGATAGTTTGATTTTGTATTTATTTAACGTAATTGTTCGATAGTTATGCACTTATTCTAAATAATTTGCTTTTGTTTCTTGATTAAACCTTTATATTCTTCATAATTTTTCTTAATTAGAGACTATTTATTTTGAACCAGTTTAATAGAACTGACTATTGTGCTTAGCGCAAATTTTTATTGATTATTTTATGATTTCATTTTACATATTAGATGTTTCCTCAGGAAGTTTTAAATATCATTCATAGATATGTTTGCACTAGTATTAGATATTATTAGATAATAAGAAAATGAAGTGTGTAAATTGAAAAATAAATAAATTTTGTTGGATGCATATAGAAATTTTTTTATGGCTTTTAATATAATAAGGACATATCCCATATCCCCGAAACGTATAAAAAATTATTAAAAATGGAGGGTTTTTGTTAAAAACAATTCATAAAAAATATACACGTATTAATATATGTATGCAGATGAGATATGTTAATCGCGTGTTAAACCGACGACTACTAAAATAAATATTACATGCGTATTGATTGCATTCTATAAAATATATACTCTAATACACAAATATTTGTAATAGTTTGCAAATATAAACATAATATATTTTCTAACGCAAATTCACATATTTACTTTGACTAATATTTAAATTTAATTTTAATATACAATTAATAATATATATTGATCATGCAGAATAATTTCAATAATGTGCACATGCTATTTCATAAACAAAACAAATGAGCAATTTGATTTACACAAACTATTATTGATTATAAAAAAATAAGCAAACGGTTTTTTTTTAAGCTAATGAAATGATTGCTAAAATATTGGTAGCTATGCACATAAGGTAATAAAATTAATTAATCACTTACCATCTTTCGATATATCTCGCCATTCCTCAACACCATAATCACCACTTTCGATTTGATTCTGATTAGATTCGGATGGACGAGCTCTGAGCCTCGAACGATGTTTGCCAGTCTTGCCTGCAAATAATATAATAAAGATTAATAATTAATTTACATTTAATTATTTATACAAAATTCAATTAAAAAAACTATTAATAATAGAAACAACATTAACCACAAAACACAAGACACTAATAAAATAAATAAAATTCATATATATATAATTATATATATACTTAATATGTATACTTAATAATGACGCAAATTTTTGGAACCAGCTCATTTATTAATAGAATGAATCAGATTAATTTTTTAATGTTCTCTCAAAAATAGCAATAAAGATATAATGAATTAAATGAAAAAAAAAAACTAAGCTGAAATACAAAACTTAATTCCGAGTTCACTCCATGGAGAAAAGTCTAATGTTTATATTATCTTTAAATGGTATTTATTTTATATTAATTAAATTAATTTAATTTATACTCATTATTCAAATTGAATTGAAAGAATATATTCTATATATTACTTCTAATTAATAGAAGCTGCTTGTTTTTTATGTATTTTATCGCTAATTTATGATTAGGTGTAAATATTTTATGGATTTGCCATTATAAAATATGGCTTTCCATAAGTTGGACTTATATTGATTTGATTACCTAATGTATGCAATATATAACAGAATAAATAAAATATCTGAAATATCTAATAAGTATATTAAACCGCAGTTTTTATTTGAAAATATAGTTGAAAAATTTAGGGTGGTTAAATCCATTGGCTCGTAAGGACCAATGAAAAATTAGGATTGATGATTGCTTGCCTTATGAAGGACCAATTGTAAATACTTTGATTATAACTGTATATATTTATTTTATATTAATAACAAGTTATACGTATATTTACAATAATTTTAATACAGTTTTTGATTACGTTCTGACTGATTGATTGATTTGTATAAATTTCTGATAGATGATTTTTTGTTTATATATCAATATAGCCGCATGCTTTGATTGGCGCGAACAATAGTATTGGATATATTTCCAAATGAAAGTAATTAATCGGGGCATTGCTGCAACGACGGTTAGTTGGGTTGCCTTCTAGTAGCGGGCAGAAGTAAATAAAATGTAAAACTTAGTAAGGAGAGTCACTAAATGGAAATCTAATAGCGTTAGAAAAAATAATAAACCTAGTTCTGAGTGCTGTTCAACCAAAAGAATACTAAATTATAAAATACTGTTAAATTATTCCATACTTATTGATTAATACAGCGTTGAATATGAAACCTAAAATAATTATTTATCATAATACCATGCGGAATATTATTATAGAGGTTCAATTAAATTTTAACTATCGTTTCGTTTTTAAACTCTATGTAGAGTCAATAACCGACCGTTATAAAATATCCATTCGATGCAAATGCTATTGATAAAACTGTATTATTTTTGTGTCGCTATTCGAATTGCAGCAACAATGCAGTCGCAAGCAACGTTCGATGTAAAGTGTTCTCTGAACCCAATTTCCATTCAATAAGGTTATATATATATATATATATATATATATATATATATATATCCAAAGTCACGGTCTTATATCGGATATATATTATAATAAATCTAGAGTTATTGCAAATTCGAAACTGCATGTTATCAATACATGCAATATATCGAATATATTAGTTTATGCATGTCGTACGAACATTTGCACGAAAAATACATAAACGTACGTGCTAAAATATATAAATACACATAACTTGGCGGTATGTATTTTCACATAAAAGTTTATATATTTATAGAAAGAGTGATATGCAGTAACAAAAAATGAATAGAACGATATTGTTGAAGCGATACCATGATGACACCATAAGTTAATATCAACCATCCGGCCGTCATATCTTGTGAAGTTTATCTCGGGAATTATTTATAACTGTGACCGTAAAACGTTGGCAACTTTATGGTAACGTCTCGACGTTTATTAATAAGAATGTATCGCGAAATGTCAGGCGAAACGGTGTAATAATATTTTTTTGTTTCATATATAAATAATATATATATATATATATATATATATATTACCTTTGTGAGATTTGTATAATCTTATTTCACGCGGTCTTTTCTCATACGATTTTTATGTGTTACAAGATTTTTTATGATATTAGCACGAGCGTTATATTATAAATTTGCGATTTCATTCGTTTTTTCATTTCTTCATTTTATTAATGCCAATAGGCTTATTCTGATACAGTAATTCAATAAAAAAAATTAGTAATATAATTTATTCTTATACATAAGGTAGGGCGTGGCACAAAGGTCCAATTTGACTTTAAGCAATTATATTGTGAAAACCAAATTAATTGTATCACAACAAGTAACACATATCAGATAGACAATTATTTTGCTAACTTGCTAGTTGGGTAAAATATGACGGTCAGAGACAAACAAGTCTAATGTTTTACCTTTATTTAGAAGGAAGTTCACGAAATAACAGGTAAATTATTCAACCAAAGCAAACTATAAATTGTATGAGTACATTTTTTTACAGAAATAACACTTTATATAACCTTTATCTAGTGTTTCCTCAGAAATATTCATTAGAAAAGTTGGAATAACTATTTACATAATTTATTTCTTGTAATATTAATCATTTTAACTTTATTTACTATTTACTACTTTTTATTGTTTACTCCTTTGCCGAGGTTAAGGTTCAGTAAAGAGGTCCACCATCAATATCTCAAAAACAAGTAAAGTTAGGAATTTTTTATCAACAATATTTAAAAGTAGAGTGCAAAATAAATGAGAAGCCATCACCTTGATTCTATCTACGACGATATGAGGAGATAAACGAAAGTATTTGAAAATCCACAACGAAAGTATTTTCTTTCGTTGTTAGTTTTTTTGGATGTGAGCACTGTTGTTTAGTTTAAGAAACCTTGAAATAATTTTAATCTACATTATTCGATTGTTTAATAAAATGTATTGTTATTTTTAAGTTACATTCCAAAGTTTTTCTTATGTAACCTCTATGAAAGCTTACACGTGTGTGGTAAAAAAGGATTAACTGAAAACAATAAATAAAGTAAATAATTATTTATAAAAAAGCAGTTTTACAAGAAATAATTGAATAATTTATTATTCTTCATTATTCTATATTATTCCTATATATTATTATTATTATCTATTCTTAATTTTTTACAATTTATTCCAAATCTGCTTAAGCACATTTCTGAAAAATACCAGGTCAAGGTTGTATACAGTGTTATCTTCATTAAAAATGTTTGCATGAAATTTATTTTCAGCATTAACTGAATTTTGAAGCATTTATTTCGTAAAATTTATTTGAAATTAAGAATAAAACATTGGGTCTTTTTACTCAGCCTATTGGACAAAAAGAAACAGATGAAAAATTTTGGAAAAATGGTAAAAAAACCTTCTATAATTGAAAGGTAACTAGGAATATTAAACTTTTATTTAACTCTGATATTTTCAGCAATCAGAAATACATAAGGATTCCTATAAGCTAAATTGACAATATTTGAGAGCAATGTCTAAGAAGAACTCCAATGAGATCTTCTTAGTTTAACAATTAAAAAGATAATAATATATTGAAGCTAATCTAAGACTACATCTGAAGGCCATTGACGTTTCAATCTTCTATCGCCAAATGGTTGGGCAATGTCGCCTATTGATGGGTTTGAATGTGATCCCATTTTACGTTTGTATTTTTCCTTAAATTCTTTGAACGTTAATTGCACCGTTTTCATGTTGAGATCACTGTGAATGGTTTATTAAATTAAATATTGTACGTAAAATTTTTGACTATGTTCTCTGCATTATAGCTATATTTGATTTGTAGGCACATCCCCAGAGCTCAATTCCGTAGGTCCAGATTGGTTTAATAATTTATTTATATAGCAGCAATTTTATTAAACATAGCACGACAGTTTGATACATGTTATGTGTTGTTATGTAATTTATTTGGTTTGGACACAATTACTTGAAGTCAAATTTGACCTTTGTGCCACGACCTACCTTATTTAATAATTAAATGCATTACCTTACGAATTTTCAAATAATTTTTTAGAATCATTTTTATATATTCTTAAAAATATATAATTTATCATCATGCTATATAAACTCAATAGTCTAATAAAAATTAGAATCGCTTTATAGCTATAGCAATTTCATATTACACGAGTCTAGTTAGATGTATCATAAAAATACTTCCAATTGCCATCGGCGCCTCATTTTAATTGGCCTTTCATCAATTTATTACTTTACAACAGAAAACGAGTTGATTGTTTAGTTGATTATATGGCTTCGGACTAACCGAACATACAAGTCCACTTGATGTAAGTGAAGAGCTACTATTAAAAGTTGTTATTGGCAATATAACACATATATAACGCCCGGACTATTACGGCACTGACGATACGGCAAAGTCATAAAATATTTTTATCGGCATTTTCAATGGCTCATTTATAACTGTTATAACGTGCGACCAGAGACAATGTTTTATACAATGTCATAATGCTGGTTAGGGATGATAGTGGTCAACAAAGATATGTTTTTAAAGTGAAAGTGACCGAAAATATGTACATTATGCAAAACATCGACTTAATCGACCACAATATAGATAGCATATTGATCTATGAAATAAATAGTGGTGCATGGCATTGTGCATCAAGGCAAATTGCTGGAACTTTCAGTGCCAGAATTAAATATTCGAGCAAAAAATAATTATCAATGAATATAGATCCAAGATTACTAACAATTATTTTGATTTTTTTTTCAAAAAATTAAATATAACTGTAATAACTAGATATGTATTCATTCATATAATATACACTGACGATCTTATCGCTCAAAACACTTTGTAGTTTTTAGCGATAACATATTTATAAGAAGAGATGCCGAACAAATCCATGTGAAAATATATTTCTTACGATTGTAATAATGCATATAAAATATATACGTACATTCTTAAACTTACTTGTATATTTAAAATTATGCATTCAAAGAATAAAACTTTGTATATTTTTGAAAATTTCGCAAAAAAATTATGAAAATTTTGAAATTTGTATGAAC